GTAGAGACGGGGTTTCACCATGTTGACCAGGATGGTCTCGATCTCTTGACCTCGTGATCCACCCATCTTGGCCTCCCAAAGTGCTGGGATTACAGGCTTGAGCCACCGCGCCCAGCCTGATGAATATTCTTATGCCAATTTTACTGAGGGGAAAACAGCCTCCTTCTCATCTTTTCTGATCCCCTTCACTTCTCCAGGCTGAGATTAAGAATACAGAGGCCAGGTGCTCGTGGCTCACGACTGTAATCCCAACATTTTGGGAGGCCGAGTTGAGTGAATCACTTGAGATCAGGAGTTTGAGACCAGCCTGGCCAATGTAGCAAAACTCTGTCTCTACTAAAAATACAAAGAATTAGCCAGCATGGTAATGTGTGCCTATAATCCCAGATACTCGGGAGGCTGAGGCAGGAAACTTGCTTGAACTCGGGAGGTGGAGGTTGCAGTGAGCTAAGATCATGCCACTGCACTCCAGCCTGGGTGACAGAGCTAGACTCTGTCTCAAAAAAAAAAAAAATACAGAAACTGGGCTGGGTGGGCACGATGGCTCATGCCTATAATCCCAGCACTTTGGGAGGCCAAAGTGGGCAGATCACTTGAGGTCAGGAGTTGGAGACCAGCCTGGCCAACATGGCGAAACCCCATCTCCACTAAAAATACAAAAATTAACAGAGCATGGTGGCTGGCACCTGTAATCCCAGCTACTCTGGAGGCTGAGGCTGGAGAAATGCTTGAACCTAGGAGGCCAAGGATGCAGTAAGTGAGATCGCACTATTGCACTCCAGCCTGGGCGAAAAGAGCAAAACTCCATCTCAAAAAAAAAAAAAAAAACTGGGGTAAGACATACATGGGTTAACCCAACTCTGCCACTATCAGGCTGTGTGACCTCAGAGAGGCCACACCACATCCCAAACCGTTATTTTCCTCATCTGTAAAAAGGGATTGACTTTCCCAACAAGGATTCACTGACAAGGCTACTATGGAGCACCCAGGATTAAAACATGGTTTAGCCCTATTCAAAAACAAACAAAAATCATCAGTGTCCACAGGTGGATGACTGCAGCGATTTACACGTGTGTCACTGAAAAGCCTGCTCGTCATAGAGAATAAAGCTCATTTACCAAGAAGCCTCAGGTTTGAATACCAGCTCAGCTATCTCACGAGTTGTGACCTTGAACAGGTCACCTCACCTCTCTGAGCCTATTCAACAAATATGCATCGAACCTTACACGGTATCAGGCACTGCCCTAGTCCTGAGCTCTTCCTGGAGCTTCATCTGAGCGTCAGCTTTGGAAAGAAGGGCAGAAGCTGCGCATAGCATTCAAGTGTAAAGCACCTGGGAGATAGCGGGAGAGGCAAGCGGCTATTTCCTAGCGGAAAAAGGGACAGTGGCCCAAGGCTGCGCATTCCCAGGCCCAGAATTGCGTGCCCCAGCTGCCTTCGCTCTCCACGCCTAACCCGGCTGGCGCCGGCGCTGGGCAGCAGGAAAAAGCGAGGCTGGACGGGCGGAGGGGGGTGGGCAGCGGAGGACCCTAAGGTAAAGGTCTAGCGCGCCTTGAGGTTGTGGCGAAGTCCCTCAGCGAAAGGCAGGCAGCTCCGCAGCTTTCTCCTCTCCCAGTATGGCTGTGGACCCTGGACCCTGGCTCCTGTTTCCACCGCGGCGTCCAAACAGTCCTACCCGACGCCAGACACTCACCGACCGACGCCATCTTGGAGTACTGGTGTCCGCTGTGCCGGGCCGCGCGAGGACTGCTGGGTAGGGAACGCACGCCCCATCTGGGAGCGAAGAGCAGAGGCTCACGGGAAGCAAGTCACAACTGCGAAGACTCTTGGGCTGCTTACTAGAAGGCCAGGAAGCGAAGGGAGAGGTTTCTGCAAAGCAAAAACTTGAGGGTCCTGCAGTTAGAGGGAGAGGGCGCCTCAGCCTGGGCTCCCTACTTAAAAGGTGGGAAGAGGCCGTGCTGGGACTACAGGCGTGCAGTAGCACGCC